TTGATGTATCCATGGCAGGCATAAGTGGTTGATGAGTATGATTCTGATTTTGATGGCCAATACAGGCCAGGGACTCGAGATTCCGTGGGTGTCAATGAGGAAGTGAGGTGGGAACATCAACTCAGTGCGGCCAGCTTGTTATATACCGAGCACATCTGATCTCAAAAAGGTGGGCAGCTTGATTAGATGTCTATCGTTTCTGGCTGCATCACCTTCGGAATTCTTTACCCCTCCCTTACCCCCTCCGAGCTCGCTGGCCCTGTCGTTCACGTTAGATCGTCTCGTGCAGCCTCAACAAATTGGCCCAAACACATCGTCTCCTCACACCATACACGGCGCCGTCTCAAGTCACCACTACCCCACGTTCGGCGCACTGTCACCCGGTTGGGTTTCCGCCACATTGTTGATTTGGACGGAAACCCCCGCCCACTGCGACTCCCCGCACGCAGCCTATGCAAGCCTGGGGTTTTTATCTTCTCTATACTCTCTATACACATACCTCGCCCTTGATCGTAATCGACAAGCCCTCAAGAGAACTTGAGAGTAAGGATCAAGATCATCTCTCAGTCTCCTCTTCAGCTTAAAGGGTGATTCGAGATATACGACCACTGGACTTCAAGTCATCGTCATGTCTCTCAATGGAAAGATCGCAATAGTGACGGGAGGGGCTCGAGGAATCGGTGCTGGCATAGTTCGAGCTCTTTCTAAACAAGGCGCAAGTGTAAGTCCTGATCTTATTGCCCGAAACAGTTTACCAGGTCGATCAATCAGAGCTTCTTTACTTGGTGTATCCACAACGGCCTCATCTTGACCGAGTCGACCTGTGATGAGAATATTGATGTTAACATAGTGCAGGTTGCATTCAATTATGTCTCTCCTTCATCCGAAGCTGCTGCTCTAAAGTTGGTTGAGGAAGTAAAGGGGTTCGGGGTTCGAGTGACGTGCATTCGTGCCGATATGGCGTCTCCTGAGGCTCCATCTCTTATTTTGAAAGCGGCTCTTCGAGAATTTCAAACCGACAAGGTCGATGTTCTGGTGAACAACGCTGGCGTCGGAGGAAACGCACCACTCGAAGAAGTCACAATTGAAGACTATGATCGTCTGATGGCAGTCAATGTCAGAGCAGTCATCTTCATGACTCAAAGCGTCTTACCTCACATCAACCGCGGCGGTCGTATTGTCAACTTGTCTTCGATATCTGCCCGCGGTGGCTACCCGACTCAATCCGTTTATGCCGCATCCAAAGCTGCTGTCGAAGGTCTAACACGGGTCTGGGCCACAGAGCTGGGCCACAAATACGGGGTAACTGTGAATTCAGTCAACCCTGGCCCTGTCGATACCGATATGTACCGTGCTGCCGGACCTGTGCATCTTGCGAGGATGGAAGAACAGAATAAGAAGGTTCCTGCCGAGCCCAGATGTGGAACGGAGGAGGATGTGGCAGATATCATTGTGTTCTTGTGCGAAGAAAGGTCGCGCTGGGTGACCGGGGACACGATCTGTGCGAATGGAGGTATGGTATACACATAGAGAAGGATAGTCTTGAACTGTTTAGCCTTCGCGGCATCGGCGGGTCTCCCATGTTGACATTGATAAGGTACATAACAATACGAAACTTCAGAAATAGAGATCTCGAGCGGGTTACCGCCTTTGGTGTCCCTTTGTGTTTCCGATTTCACTACAGAGATCCACCGGCCGACACCCCGAAATGAGCCAAAATGGACAAGTATTCGCCACGAGTGGCTAATGTAGAGATATTGCAGGAGTCGTCGCGTGGTGCTGAGGGAGCTAGGCCAAGTAAAACGCAAGCCAATCGGAACTTCATCGCGAATTAAGCGTAGCAAGTATGTCTAGACTATGGTATACTTGAGTCTCTCCTTAAAACCAAGAACATAAAGCTAGTGTTCACAGAAGTTCCACTCGGTCTTGAGCCAATTAGCCTCCTTCTCTTTCATCCACGTTCTTTCAGCCATCAGCTCCTTCCTCAGCTCCTTGGCCTGTTCCATTCCAATGGGCCACTTATCTCTGCTAAGGCTCTGTTCCCAACTCTCTCGAGCCTTCAACCAAGCGTCTTCGGAGTCAACCCACTCTTCCTGAGCCGTTTCCCACTGAATCGATCCCTGATCATCGGATGATGGGGCGGGCAATGGACCAGTCTTAGGCTCAGCAGGCCACCAGTGTTTCTGCTGAGGCGGCACGTTCGACGTGCTGATGATAGGAATGGCTGGGTCGACGAGGAAAAGAGCTACAATCTTCCTATGGCCAGGCTTTGAGGGATCTGCCAGCTTGAAGGGAGAGACTTGGTGTTGGAGGAGGTTAGGGAAGAACAATGCCCGGCCGCCTTTTGTCTGTACTGATCCCACATTCTGAAATGTGTGGCCACGAGGTTCGATTGCGAATGCCTGCTTGATACTCCACCAGTCGTACTGCTCATAGTCGAGCGAGGTTCGTGAGCCAGAATCGTCAAGGTCTTCTCTGTTGGCACATGTCCGGAAGTTGAGAGTGCAGTCCGTGATGTTCTCACAATCGTAGTAGTACAGTGCTGTGCTGACAATATGTTCGTTCAGAAGACCTTCAGTATGCCAAGAGCCACCTTTGTATTCAGGGTTCTCTGGCGTGAGATGGATATTGGCCAACTTGACAATGACTTGACAGCGGTCTTTGCATCCAAAGAAGCCACTGCTTCTGATGTCGGAGGCGGCGAATTTGACGTAATCTTTGGCCTCGGGGTCAGCGTCAGGAAGCGCAGGGCCATGAGTCTCTCTGAACCAGGCTTTGTCACGAGCGTTGCGCCCCAGATCCTTTCGGTTTCGTGGGACTTCTCCCTCGGCGAGAGGACGTGCCTGGGGCCTGCATGCACGGCGTCGACCGCAGATTTCCGGACAAGGGCACATTGGCTTCTGAACATTGGATGTTACGAGACGTTGAATCGCAAACTTATCCTCCCAGTTGTAGATAAGATCCCAAGCTGGCAAAGACTTCTCAATGAGCTTCTCGATGATCGGATAGAGGTGAGCCTGCTCTACAGGATGAAGGTTGTTGATGTAGCTTGCAATTTTGGCTTTTCCTGTGATTCGATCGAGGTCCACATCACATGGTAGCCATTGAAACTCCCTACTCAACACCTTGTTTCTCGAAGTACTCCTCCAAGAAGTGGCAGGAGATAGTGTGGCCTCCGCCTTTGTCGGCTGGCGTATTGTAGTACCCATGTCGCAGTAGTCAAGAGCGTCATCAACGCCGATTGTGCGGTCATGAAGCACCTTAGAGCTACCGTATACCAAAGGCCAGAGGGAGGGATGAACCAAATCCAAGACTTGATCGTTGCTGTTAGGGTGCCAGTCTTTGCAATCTGAGGGGACATCCTCAAGTGGCTTGACAGCATCTCGGATACACTTGGCGAACTCGGGGGTTAGAATGCTGTCAGACTTGATGATGGCAGTGCAGTAATCGTAGACCGGCATAAGCCCTGTCTGTTCATACACTTCCGCTTTCTTCCGTAGTTCACTGATGCACTGGAGGTCGTTAGCGCTGATATACTATAATGAAGACACAAGTCACCTTACCGCATCGGCCATAGAAGGAGTGAAGTGAGCATTCTCAATATACGATGCCCAGTCGATTGTCAAAGCCTCCGATTTCCACTTTGTAGCAATACTGTCGTCTTTGACCTTGAGCCACCACCGAGGTTTATCAGACAATTCGTTAATAACCCTCATCATGCAACATTCGCGGACCAGAAGCGTGACGGCTTCCCATTCGCCCAGGAACAAAACAGGAAATCTCCCTTTCAGACTGGGCATATGTCCAAGATTAAGACCTGCCCCGGGACGTTCGACAACCAGTTGTTTCAGAGTCAATTGAAACGCATCAGTGATCGTGACTGGACTTCAGGCCTCTAGAGGCTCACCTTGAATGAGCAATGGTGGTATCTCCATACTGCCTGCTTGATGAGGAGGTTGAGATACTTGAACGAGAAGGCATTGAAATCGAGCTCGGTGTTCTTTTCAATCCAATATTTCGCATCAGACACGTCGGGGTCTTTCGGGCCAGCCCAAGTGTCGAAGGCTTTTTGTTGATTGTCAGTCAACTTGACACGCTCGTGCTCGTGCTTCATGAATTCCTCCTCGTCGGACGTGAGAGGCACGGGACTGCTAAAGGCTTGAGTGGCCATAGCGTAGACGGGTATGTGGAAGAATGGATCGTGTTGTAATGAAGAGGCTTGGTGAGATGCTGTTGCTGCACAGTCTATAGGTAAGGTAAAATACTTTATATATGTTTATTTCTAGGTGTTGACTACCTGTGAAGTAATAGGAACCCCTGAAATTCTGTGTGTATATCGTGAAAGACTTAGGCAGAAGTGTGGGTTCACTTCGTTAAAAAGTTTAATCCGGCAGGCAGCATGAACAGAACCCCTTGTACAAGACTTAACATCCCGAAACCCCACCGGCCATTCCAAAAATGGTTGCGGCGATCAAACTAGCGATAGGCTGTTGCTGAGCATTGACTCACATGCTCCAGGTTGACAGGGATAACGTGCCGGCCACTGGATCGATAACTATACGAATAGGCAGGTCGACGTTAGCTTCCTTGGCCAAGACTAACAAAGTGAAATGTTCTCCTTTCAACGTCCCCCAGTGAAATGGATAAGGTACGTAGCATCTGTTAGAACCATCACAGATGGCTCACAAAATCTATCATCATGGGGTTTCAAAGGTGTGTAAGGTGGTTTACGTTTCAAATACCGATGCCCCAACTAATTAGCGTAAAGACGAATTACTCTGTAAATCCGAAAAATTCGGCTGGATTCTATCCAGATATTGTAATTCCAAAATCTCACTATTGTCCTTCAAGCCGTCTCCGTAAGAAGATGAAAGATGTGAGTGAAAGCCAAAAGAATTATTGCTCTTGGCCCTCAGCAAGAAAGTCTGCAAGCCTTTCGCTCCTGTTATCCCCGCAAAGCTTCATATCTATGTGTTATTCCGCCTTCGTTCAGCATGTGTCTAGGACTTTGGTCCCGACTCAATGTTTTCCTCCACTTCGAAAAGATATAACGTAGGTTCAGGCTCGTTTCTCTTGCGCATGATATAGCGCTTAAACCACCATGGCAAGGCCTCCAATAGTTGATAAGACGCATGCCGCCTGGTAGAAACCGAGAAAACGTCATCAAGTTCTTCAAGAGAGCGTTGCTTCGTCTCTGGAAGGAATAGAAAGATGAGAATCAAGCATATAACGCCAAAGACAGAATAAAGTGTGAAGACTCCCTGGGGCTTGATGGCCTGGAGAAGTGGCGGGGATGTTTGTGCCACGACGATGGCCCAGAAGTTGTTCGTTGCGACGGCCCAAGCCATGCCAACCTCACGATGTGATAGAGGGAAAACCTCGGCCGAGTAGACAAACGCCACTGGCCCCTCTCCCGGACCATAGAATGCGGCGAAGATATAAATGAACAAGCAAATAACGCCGAGGTGTGAGGGACTACTCTGCGGAATGTAGAAGGCCATGCCTGCTGCTAGCATAGCCCAGCACATGTTCGGAAAGGTGACCAACAGCAGCGCTCTGCGGCCCCAGCGATCAATGGTCCACAAAGCCGGGATCGCGAAAAGGAACATTGCCATACCATATCCCCATGATGCCAGAAGAGCAATGGTGTTACTTGCCCCTGCTTCCACAAAGAGCGTCGAGGAGTAAAATGACATGAGATTGACTGCGGTTGTTAGTCAAGCGTTCTTGAACATTTCGGGAGTACGTTGTCCTACCTCCACAAAACTGCTGAGCAGCCATGATAATACCCGATGCTTGTGTCGCCCGACGGACCCTGGGGATGGTAAATAACTCCACGCATCTGGTGAGAAAGTTGCTGTCACCAAGCCCGTCAGCCTCCACTAATTCTTGCTCCTTTTCAAGCTGTGCGTTGACGAAGTAAAGATCCCTAGCGGCGAGTAAATTGTTGCCACGTAGTCTCAGGAGTGACTCGTAGGCTTGGATAAACCTGCGCTTCTTCAATAGCCAGCGGGGTGATTCAGGTGTAAAGTAGATTCCCAGGAGCAAAGGTACTGCGGGGATCATGGCGGAACCAAGTTGAAGTCTCCAGGCGATGTCCCCAAACCCAACCAGAGCGAGATTTGCAAGGAATCCAAGCATGATCCCAAAAGCGCTGAAAAGTTGCCATGACATGACAAGAGCTCCACGTATGTTAGGTGGTGAGTTTTCAGCCGAGAATACGGGCACAGTAACTTCTTTCAGTCCCATTCCCATGCCGAGAAGAATTCTGCAGATCAAGATCTGTGGCCAAGTCTGGCAAAGGGCTTGGCCTACGGGGCCGAGGATGCTGAAGATGGCGCCCAGGAAGATTGCACCGCGTCTTCCGAACCAGTTATTGACGGGATCAGACAGCCAACAAGCGCTGTTAGTACGCACAGGTAGTCAGTAATATGTCCATTATGGAATTGGCGAAGGACTCACATGACGCAAATAGCCATATACGGCGCGCTGTTGATGGCACCAATGATCCAGGAGTTTCTTGCACATGTTCCGGCTATTAAGCAGGCCTCGCCTTTGTCCGCAATCCCAAATGCTTGTGGGAAAGATAAATTTGCTCCATTTGACCCTGTTTGGTCCCAGCCCTGTATTGCTGCGCTCACCGAGTTCATAAGAATGGTGAAGTAGAGAGCTTTGGGATGCTTCCAGCGATGCTCGATTTCGTTTCTCAGAACGACTCGATCCTCTTCATTTAGCTCCGGTATGTCTTCGTAGGCTTTCGGAGTCTGTGCAGCCAACGCCCCCTTTTCGAAGTAGGTGATCTCGTTTTGAAGGCCTAGGCCGATAGCGAAAAGTCTTGCATCGATCTTGAGCTGTTCTCGGGGAATACCTTCAAGAGGGTTGCTCGGCCTGTGAGTCCGTAGTTTTAGTAAGAAGCATAAGATTAGACCGGGCTTCTTGGTGGTAGCCTACTCTCCAGTGGCCATCTGGCTTTCACTGCGGCGAGGATTGTCATGGCGACTGATTTCGACAGCATTGCCCACTTCAAAGCCGCTCTTGAAACTTAGACGGTCAGTTGATTGTTTGACCAAGTATGGATGAATGTTGAGACTTACATGGTGTCATATTTCTCTAAAGGTGAACTCGACATCTTGGCGGCTGATGGTTTGATACAGGAATAGGAGAGGTGGGAGGATTGAAATCTGGCAACAGAGCACCTTCTTGTCTCAGGAAGACTGGTGGAACGACGGGAGAACGGCGGAAGAACCCCCAAGTAGTGATACCTATGGCTTATGAACTTTGAAAGACAGGCGCTGGAGTGACTATTGACGTGTGTGGATCTCACAAGGTACCAAGTCTTCAAATCCGGCTGTCGGCAGTCCAAAAGGTTCTTGGATTGGGGTTTCAAGTTTTGTCAACGATGTAGCATTTTATCGATGTAATGTATATTCAGTTGGGTCAAGTCACGCCCATTTTGACGGGTCTCAGGGCTCGAAGGGTACATAAATCAGGATGACCCTATGCCGGATGGCCGCCTTGGAGTCCGCGAAGACGACATACTAACTCCAATTTCCAACGTGGATGGTATTCGCAAAATAATTTGGCTAGGCTTTGGGAGAAGGGCCCTCTGAAGTCCATGTACCTGTCACATGTGTCCTCCGAACATGAAAGAATCGCCTCAATGTCTTACCTACTTTAGGTAGGCGGCATGAATTTCTGTGGAGCTCGGGAGAACCTTAGAACCATCACAAATGTAACCTCTGTGGCCCTTACCGCTTCTTCAATTATGTTCTACTTTTCTGGCAGATCGATTTGTCGTTAAAACACCGTTCATTTGATGCTATTTCCGAATGCGTACCTCTTTAACACTATGTAGTGGAAGACGCTTCAACATCCTGCGAACTTTGATACTCGTGTATTTCTCAATGATGGTTCTCAAGATCTTGATTCAGCACAAGAAAACTGCGCGATAACCAGCGCGCTGCGCAAGCCATGGCGCCGGCTTGAGTACCACGCAAAATGTGAAAGTCTGATTAAAGTGACATATAAACTTGTTTCTAATGCGAGAAATCCCCTGCTGAAGAAAGGAAAGACCATGCGGTTCTCCAACTGCTGCTCCAGGCTTGCTTCATCAAGTTTGAGACGACGAAAAGTAATAGTTGGGGACTTGATAAGCTATTCAAACGTTCTCGTCAAAGTCCAACACCGCAGTGGCTTGATGGGGCCGAGCTTTCGACTCTACCTTCCTTCTAATCCTGGCCGCGGTGTCGGTGCAACCCTAGACCCATTGAAGTAGGCCATTGGCCGCTGATTTGTCGAATGAGTTGTATGTATCTTGAACTTTGTTGTATGTATCTTGAACTTGTCTTATACGTGGCAGTGGACAGTTTAGTTGCTTAGTAGTGCTAATCAAGTGAGAGCGAATGAGTTTTGAGAAGTTTGAACCGGGGCTGTTACAATGTTCGCTCTCGTCTCGACTTTCCTTCCCAGTCGGTGACGAGAGGTGGAGACACTTCGCCCCGGCCCATCGTCTCGCCCCGTCTCAAGGGCGCACGATATGTCAAGACATGCTTGACGCTGGACGCAGAACATAAGTTGGGCAAAGCGCCGCAGTTGTGAAATGAGGAGAAGAAGAGCGAAAGACACGCGTCTTGGGCCATTTCAACCAACACATCATCTCCAATCGGTGAATTAGAGCACCGGTACAAGCTGCAACATCAAATCTGAGGCCCAGTTCACAACTTCAACCAACGTCATGGTCCAGATCAAAGCTTTCGAGGTAGAAGAATGGATGGATCGTCTCGAGACAACGCCTGGTGCTCTCAACATCGCCGAAACATGCTGCGAGTCTGTGTCGATCAAGGAGTTGACAGAGCTGTCGAGCGACAAGTCGGCTGCGGGCCCCCTTGACATTGCAACCCGACGAATGACTTACGGCGCCATTTACGGATCAGAGAAGACGCGCCAGCAGATCGCCAACATGTACGCAAACGATGTTTCGGGCTCACTCCCCAGCGATCAAGTCGTCATTACGCAGGGAGCCATCGTTGCCAACTTCCTCACTCTCTACACCCTCGTCGGCAAGAATGATCATGTAATCTGTGTATACCCGACCTACCAACAGCTGTACGAAGTTCCCAAAAGCTTGGGCGCTGATGTGAGCCTCTGGAAATTGAAGGCTGAGAATGGCTACATCCCGGAGATCCGAGAACTTCAAGTCCTGGTGCGAGAGAATACCAAGGTAATACAACCATACTTCAGACGAGTAGTACCCACGGCTAACTCGTAGGACTAGATGATCATTATCAACAATCCCAACAATCCCACTGGTGTCACTACGCCCAAGCATGTTCTAGAAGATCTCATCGCGTTTGCCAAGTCGAGAAACATCATTGTCATGGCCGACGAGGTATATCGACCCCTCTTCCACAGCCTTCCTGTAGGAGAAAGCATGCCCCCATCGATCCTGTCTTTGGGCTATGACCGAACCATTTCTACCTCGAGTATGTCGAAAGCTTTCTCTCTTGCCGGCATCCGCGTGGGATGGATCGCATCGAGAGATCCTGGAATCATTGAGGCCGTCAAGAGTGCGCGGAACTACACGACCATCAGCGTCTCGCAGCTGGACGATCAAGTGGCCGGCTATGCTCTCTCGGATGCGGTCAGACCAAACCTCATCAATAGAAACATCGAGCTTGCAAGGACAAACCTTGAGATCCTCGAGACCTTTATCAAGAAGCACCAGTCTGTTTGCTCCTGGGTAAGGCCCACAGCCGGTACAACGGCAATGATTGGCTTTCGAAGAGGCGACGAACCAGTTCGAGATGACGAGTTCTGTCTTGAAATCCTTAAAGAGACTGGGGTTTTGATAATGCCTGGGTCTACCTGTTTTGGTGAGGGTGTTGACTTCAAGGGCCAAATGCGCTTTGGTTACGTATGCCGGACAGAAGTGCTGAAAGAAGGCCTGGAGAAACTGGGTGTTTATCTAGAGCAGAGCTTCCACTAATTGTGTTCAAAAGGGGACACTCTAAGTAGGCACATTTGGGTCGACAAAGGACTTCGCACGAGTACCTATCCCCTGCAATAGAAACGAATCGTTAATCTTAGCCTATTCGCTGGATGAACTTCAAACCAGTATCCTTTTCTCTTGTAAATCAATCACCGCCCGCTCATGACTCTTTTGTAGCTTCTTCCTCAAATTGTACCAAGACCGTTCCGGCTTTGCAGATATCCTAAGACAGTGTCAGTGACGGGCGTGCAACTTTGGAAAAATAGGACTACTCACGCCTTCCTTATGCGCCAGCTTCTTGACCACGCCGTTTTGGGGTGACCGAATAACAGTCTCCATCTTCATAGACTCGATACTGTGTGTCAAAATTAGCCACTGGAAGTCATCTTGTGACAGCGGTCTTGGGTCGGGTGATACTGACACAACCAACGGAGCTCCCTTTGCTACGGCTTGCCCTTCTTCCACTTTGTTCTTCAGAATCTTACAAGGCATTGGTGCAACGACAGACGCGGTAACCTCCTTCAAACCGAGGGCCTTCTCGAACCAGCTTGGTGGCAGAAGAGAAAGCTCGGTCTTGATGCCATGTTGGAACACAGCAATCTTGGTATCCTGCTCATGCTGTGAACTCTGCACAACCGTCGACTCCAATCTCTCGTTGGGAAAGAAAGTTGTCAACGCATTCGTTGACGACGACTTTGGTTGGAATTTGCTGATGAGGTTCTCGAAAACCTTGGGCGGCTCCTCTCCCTTCCTTGTTACACGCGCCTCAAAGAGTTGATGGGACTTTTGTGTGATGCTGACTTCAACAACTTCTCCCTCTTGCTCACTGTATGAATCGAGCACCTTGAAGGCAAACTTGCGCTCGCTGAGGGTGCTGGCCTCGTCAAAGCCTAAGCTACCTCCATGGGGAGCAGCATGCGATAGTTGTGGGGATAACGAGCTGAGGGCAGCCTGGACAAAGACTTCGTCATGGATTGGCCGCGGCTTGAAAAGCTCATCTCTCCACTTGTCGATGAACCCTGTCTCGACGTCGCCTTCTATGAAAGCTGGGGACCGGCAAAGACGTTTAAGGAACTCGATATTGGTGCTGAGACCGACGACTTCATACTCACGGAGAGCCAGTTCTAGCCTGCGAATAGCTGTTTCTCTGTCCTTGCCGCGAACAATCAACTTGGCAATCATGCCATCGTAGGCTTCCGAGACAGTATCACCCTGAATAAAGCCGGCGTCGATGCGAATGTCCTCGTTCGTCTTCGGCGTGGTGAGGTGAATCAACTTGCCTGAATCAGGCATGAAGCCCTTCTCCGGATTTTCGGCATAGATACGAGCCTCAATAGCTGCACCGTTCTGCTTGATGTTCTCCACAATCTCCTCCTGTGTCATAGGTAGCTTCTCGCCAGCAGCGACGCGGAATTGCCATTCGACGAGATCGGTGCCGGTGACCATTTCACTAACGGGATGCTCGACTTGCAATCGGGTGTTCATCTCCATGAAGTAAAAGTCGCCAGTGTCCTTGTCAAGAATGAACTCAACAGTGCCAGCGCCAACGTAGTTGACGGCCAAAGCAGCTTTCCTAGCCTTCTCCCAAAGATCGAGACGAGTTTCTTCGTCCAAATCCGGCGCTGGAGACTCCTCAAGAATCTTCTGGTGTCGTCTTTGTACACTGCAGTCACGCTCCCCTAGAGCAACACAATTGCCCAGCTTATCCGCAAACACCTGCACCTCAACATGGCGAGGGCGCACAATGTACTTCTCCACCAACATGACCTCGCCACCCTCGCCAAAGGATGCGCGGGCTTCGGCGCGAGCACTACCAAGCTGGGCGGCAAACTCGTCCTCGGTCATAACGATGCGCATGCCCTTTCCACCACCGCCCTTGACACTCTTGAGCAACACTGGGAACTTGATATTCTTTGCGTGTTCCAATAGTTGTGCCTCCCCCTGATCGGAACCATGGTACCCTGGAACACAGGGGACGCCGGCGTCGGTCATAATGATCTTGCTTCGTGCCTTGTCGCCCATATCGGTCATTGCCTGCGCCGGAGGTCCAATGAAGACGATGCCCTCCTTTTCGCATCTCTCGGCAAATCGAGAGTTCTCAGACAGGAAGCCATAGCCGGGATGAAGGGCTTGTATGCCGT